GTATATTTCCCCTCTCAGTAGGGTTGTTTACAGTGCACGTGATTTCCGGTTAGCTTCTTAGCTTAGCCTCATTCACAGCGACACACACACACTCCAACAGAGGCCACGCCTCCAGCAAGAAGCGCTTCTCTATGACCGCGAGTCCAGACCCTCGTACGAAGCAAAGTGAAGGACAGGGTCTAGTTTTTACCAGGCTAGGGTCAGATAGGCAATACAAACAACTGGTAAATGAATGAAAGTCAATGCAAAGTCCCCATGAGGATAGAAGAACAAACGTGTGTGTGTGGTGGTGGGGGGGTTGGAGTTTATCTCATGAGTTGCTGGGACAGCTATTGTTTTTGAGTGTTTTGTTAAACACAGATGGTGCGTTTAAGTTTCCTGTTATTTTTGGGATTTACAGGAAAGGTCTCAAAGCTCTTGACGAGTTTGTCGTGGGTCTATTGCAGCCCCCACCCCTTCTCCTTCTCTCTCTGTGTCTTCTGAACAGAAGGTGGTCAGGTTTACTCTGCACTAGTTGTCATGTAAATATAGTCCGATGCAAACACCCACATAATTACACATCGCTGGAATTTATTCTATGCGGGACCTTCATGCATTATAAAAATTTGATTTGCGGGAATCGATCATAAAATGCACAATCCCCGCAGTGAATTTCAGGCCCTGCAGGTGCTCCCACACTGCAGCTGTCACGTTCTGCTTTGAAACCAATCCCATCTCCATTTTTCAGAATCCCATCAACGTTTCTTTAGTTTATTGCTACGAGCTCTCATGCTAAAGGAGTACGAGACCGCGCCAGAGTTGACTCCTCCCACGCTAAGAAAACAGGAGGGGAGGGGTCAGCTGAGCCCCCTGTGCACCGGAGCACAGAGATGGGGAGAGACGAAGTAAACGAACAAGCAGGCAAATGAAAATTATCCTCCTCATTTTTTCATCAAACTCAAAATAATTTATCATGCGATTAATTGATTTATTGACTATCGTGACAGGCCTATGTCTAACCATTTCTCAGTCTTATTATTAGGATTTGGTACAACAGCCCCTGCAAAAACAAACACTACTGCTTCCCTCCCCTTAAGTCAYGTACTGTTCAGGTTTAGTGCAAGGTACAGGACTAGGCCACAAAAATAAATCAAAGTTAAAACAATGTCCTGATAAGGACAGAMATTCAAACTTGTGTGCTGTGTGTATAACAGTCTCTCATTATGTTTCTRTTTTATTTTCGTRTTCCTCTAAGCCTTTTTAAAAGTGCTACTTAAAGAAATTCTAAWGTACTATCTGAGTTTTGAATGGTAGAGGGAAAACATAAAAAAATCCATCCTTGTATCGACACATCAGCAGTGTCACATGAGAACATACACTCACCTGACGGGTGGGCGAAGCTGCGCCCACAGAGGTCGCAGGCCACCTTCTTCCTGACTCGTMCCGAGTCACGATGAGCCTCGGCCCGGTGGCGCTGCAGAGCTCGCTGGTTGGCTAGTTTCTTGGGGCACTGAGGACACTGCAGCTCACAGTCCTCAGACATGGAGCAGCGCTTTATGTGGGACAACATTCGACATTTGAAGTCAAAAGTCTTCTTACACCAGCTGCAGATGTAAGGCTTGGACTCTGCTGAAGTAGCAGATGAAGGTTCCATTGTAGCATCTGGGTCTTTCTCTTCCTCCTCAGTCTGCTCCTTACTGCATTCCTTTTCCACCTCTGGCTCTGGCTTTTCTTCATTTCTGGATTCATCCTGCATTTCTGAGTCAACTGTGAAAGACAGAGAGAGGATAGAAATGTAGTCACAAGGATAAAAACTCTCATCAGCTCAAGGAGYTAGTTTTTACCTTCAGCTTGAGGAGGGTTACTTTCCACATCTTCTAGCAGAGAGYGCAGCGGTGCAGGGAAAGAGGAGGGAGCTTTCTGCTTTAGAGCTTGTAGAAGTTGAACCAGCACTCCCTCAGTGATCACTCCATCCCTCACGTTACTCATTAGCTTCTCCAACACTGAGCTGGGATCAGCCTCCTCACAGCACTGACACACAATCTGGAAGAAGCAGAATATTAACACTGAATCTGCCTGCGCCACTTCGCAAAAAAAAAAAAAAAAGAAAAAGAAAAAGTCCGTCCGTCACCTGTAGCTTTAACCAGGGAGTAACGTCTCCACCATTAAAAGCTGTTGCAGGTCCATTCTGAGCTCAGAAACTGTTTGTTTACGTTCATGACGAAAGTAAAACTCTTTTCTGTTTTTTCCCCTTTGGTGGGAGGGGGAGTTAGAACTGCACATGTCAGTGTCTCTGTTCTGAATAACAGCCTGGTGCATGTAAACACTCGTTTGCACAAGTTTAATAGTCTACTAACTAAGTTTAGGACTGCATGATGTCCATTTTTATAAATAAGATGCATCTTCATCGTCCTGGCTGACAAGTTTGAGTCGAACATGTGTGTTCCCCTTTATTGCTTATAATATGGGGCATGTGTATTTTGTATGTTCATTGCACTTTAGCAAATTCTGAGGAATAAAGCCACAAAGTGAAAATGTTTTTGTTTGGGGCATTTTTAGAGTAACACAAATTACACAAATGTTAACACAATTTACTCAAATTAATTTGTAAATACTAATATGTTGTCTTTTTTA